ACATACTATAAGACTTGTGTAGCTAGGTACACATTCTTGCATTCTTCTCATTTCAAATTATAAATAAAACTTAGTATGATTTTATTAAATGAGCTTTCTAAATATATTTGTTACCTCATTTTTGTAGTGAACTACTTGATCCAACATTCATTTTTGCCGTAGATGCTGGTGAAAGGTTTACATTCCAACCAATGAAGTTTAATTCCCTCTTAAAGATCACAAGAGTGAAGGTGACAATACATATGTATGCTATTTGTTTCATGTCTAAAGCTGCATATAAAGTCTAGCATTTCCTCTTTTCTGGCATTATGATGTCCATTTCTATTGTGCATGCAGACAATTCAAATTCTATTCTATATCTTCTTTCAAGTTGCTAAATTCTCAAGTTTATGTATTGGTTCAATTCAGTACTATATTATTCTAAGCTTTTGTGGTTCATTTCATGGACACCCCTTGCACACACACAAAACTACCATGTTTTACTATCTTAACTTGATGCACATCCATTTAAGAAAGATCGTATTTTCATTTCATATGAGTGAAAATAACATGTTTTAAATAACTTTGGTGAGCTGTTTTATTTCACCAGCTTCATTTTCTACTTCATGTTTAACAACCGCTTTGATGCCTGTGTGATACATAGCTCTTGGGAAGATCAATCAATTTGAGGAGATTGATTGCAGAGAGAATGAACAAAATGTTTCGAGACAACATCGAGTTTTTGTTTGACCGCTTTGAATCTCAAGACATTTGTGCCATTGTGGTAATTAAAAATTCTTCATTTTCCCCCATCGGTTTTTAAATTCCGGCAATATGGAACATTATTTGTTGGTATCTTATTCTTTCTGCTGTTGTAATTTCAGGAATTGGATAAGCTTCTTGAGATTTTGCAACATGCCCATGAATATTTGTCAAAAGATCTTATACTAGATTCTTTCAATATGATGCTAAATGAAATGCAGGAGAATGTATCTCTTGTGTCATATTCTAGCCGTCTTGCTTCTCAGGTTTTCAGTAATCTCTATATCCTTTGTAATTTTGAATTTGTGATTCATGTTAATATCCATGCTGCTCTTAGCATTGTTCTTTCAGTTTGCCTTCATTTAATTTTTTTTAACTCAGGATTGTAGGTATGTTCTCATAGTCATGATACGGGTGTGGCATCATTGCCTTGCTGCTCTTGCAATATCAATCATGTGTCAAACATGATAATAACACATGTCTCAACTCATTGTCACCTCATGATATTTTCCTACTACCTACTTGAATAAGATAAAAAATAGTCATCTTGCATATAATTTTCCTACGTCCAGGCGCCATTCAGAAAACGCCTGGACGACTAGTCGGCGACTAGGCGACGACTTGACAACAATGCTTATTACGTACTCTGTATTATATATTCTTATTGGAATAATATCAGATCAAAAATAACTTTAACTTTAAGACCTGACCAGAAAGATTCGAATACAAAAGAAGTGAACATGCCCTTAGTCATTAACATGTTGTGTACTTGTCTTATATGGGGCACCACTAGTTGTGATTGTGGACTTGCAACAATGTCACAAAAATTGTTTATCGTTATCTTATTCTGCTTGCTAGATTTGGACGGAGATGCAAAATGATTTTTTGCCAAACTTCATACTCTGCAATACAACTCAGCGTTTTGTCCGATCTTCTAGAGTTCCTTCAGTTTCTGTGCAGAAACCTTCAGTTCCCTATGCAAAGCCAAACTTTTATTGTGGTAACCCAGTAAGAAGTTATCCAACACAACTATGTAATTTCCATGATTTCTTTGCTTGAATAGAAAAATGTGTTGATTGCTCAGTTGCTCCTCTATAATTTGTTCTAGGATCTAAATTCTGCATACCAGAACTTTGCTCGATTGTATTGTGGATTTTTTGGGATCCCTCACATGTATTCAATTGCAAAGCTTTTGGGGTCTAGATCATTGCCTTGGCTTATCAGAGCCCTCTTGGATCATGTCTCAAACAAGGTATAATGTGGAGCATGAATGCATTCTTGATCATCTTGTGTCTTGGGAAATCTTCTCTAGCTATTATATCATGCAAAACTATTACCTCTAGTGATATCAAACTACTGTTTATTGTGATGAGAAGAATCTTTGTGTCCAGCTATTGTACTTTATCAGTAAGTTTTCATCATATCATAGTAGATAGTGCATGTAGTCATGATCTCAACCTCATCATGCATCTAGGTTTTTACTCATTGAAAATGACTTACTGATGAGATGCTAATGTTTTACATATTTCATTTAGATTACTACAATTGAACCAATGATTATTGGCTTACAAGAAGCTTTGCCTAAGTCCATTGGATTGCTTCCGTTTGATGGAGGAGTAGCAGGTATTGTGCAGGCAAAGTTGATTTGGTTGTGTAGCTTTGTAATGCTATTGCTTATAAATTTGTCAAAACACTGCCTTTTTTAGTTTTTTTTTTGTCGTTATTAAAGATTGAGCTGCAACATAAAATGCACAACCAACATTATTATTGGAAAATGTGAGATTTATATTATACTCCTGCCATCCCACTATTTTTTGTCCATTTTACCATTTATGTCCGTAACACTATTTTTGTCCCATACCATATTTGGTAATGTTTGTGTCGGTCAAATTCTTTCCTACTTTTTTTTTACTATTTGAAATCAATATCAACAAAATAATTCTACTTTCCTTAGTTTTCATGCCACTACCATATGTCCCAAAAATAGCAGGATGGAGGGAGAAGTATTGAAGTTTCACCATTTTTATTGTATTGAAGTAGGACATTTGATCTTGTAATCTCATTAACATGAGCCCTCCATTTTCTGAAAGAAACTTTTCAAATTTGCCATATGTAACCTCACTTGTTTGTCAATGTTCTTAAGGTTTTCCTTAATGGTATGGTTTGATTTTTTTAACTGATTGTATTTCTTAGACCCAAAGACCAAATATATATTAATATAAATAGAAAATAGATATGGTAATCTTTATGTTATAAAAAAAAGTAATATTTCAAAAATATAAAATGGAAGTATGTTTTTGCTCAAAGAGTAATTGTTTACATTAGTACGAAGTATAATTAGTTGAATTATATTTACATATATTTTCCATAATTTCTGATGGAGCCAAAGATTCACTATTTTTTGGCTCTAGGGTATGATGGGATATAGCAAAATACTCTTTAAACTGTTTGTCTTTCAATAGTGAAGTACAGTAACAGTTATTCAATGCAACTTTCGACGCTCATCATGAGTCATCAGAAAATAGTTGACCTATGATTTAAACATAGTGGCCAGGTTGCGTAGGTTGCGTACATCTGACTCCCCTTACCCCGCAATGTGCGTTGTTGTTGTATGTTTAAATATACTCTCTCTGTCCCAAAAAACACTCACGTTTACTTTTCATCCCTCCCATAAAACAGTTCCACTTGCCATTAAAATCTCCCTTTTACCCCTACTAATTATTAACCTACCTATCACATCATATTTGTTTACTATTAATCTAGCCATCACATCATATCTATCCTACCCTACTAAAAAGGGAAAATTTGGAAATAACACCAAAATTACACATTCCTTAAATCCCATATTTTCCTAAAGTGGAAAAGTTTTATGGGACGGAGGTAGTATTATTTTAGAACAAATTTTTCCCTCCTACTCGGTACCCTAAAGGGTAACTGCATAGGCAGGGCTGGCAGGCCAAGGTAGCCAGATTCATTGTAGATTTGTAGGCCGCGGCAAGCCTATGTGCAACCTAACTTTTATATTTGTTTGTTTTGAAATGAGATCAAGTGTAGATTAAGTATCTAATTGCTTGGTTTGCATTTTGTCATGAAGTGCCACCTAATATTTGAGTGCTTTAAGTCTCTTTTAGGATTCCACTTTCAAGTAAGGGTAAGGTCTGTACACACACCCTCCATAGTTACTTTTTGTGGGATTTTTACTAGGTTTGTTGTTTTTGTTGTGGTTGCAAGTCTCTTTTAGGATCACATGATCAAAATGGAGTCATTTTGCAACATAGTGGGAACAATTGCACGGTCGTATTGAACTTATATCAGGTGTAGATAAATCTAGTTTTTAACTGTGGATCTTTTTTGTTGGTTCTGAGCACTTTGTTATATGGTTTTAGGATGTATGAGATATGCAAAGGATATTCTTAACTGCTGGCAGTCAAAATCTGAACTCAAAGCTAAGATTCTTTGTGGAATCAAGGAAATTGGGAGTGTGCTGTACTGCATGGGTCTTCTTGATATTGTTTTGGTAAGTTTGCCAAGTCGATTGGTTTTCTATGTATACTACTTACTAATACAATGAACTCATTGCACTTTCGTTTAAATTTGGGTTCTTTCCTATAAATAGAAAGCTAGTAATACATCATCAAGACCAATCCTCCATTTGTGGGACTTGGTCTACACTCTAAGTGATGCAATTAGAGAGGGAAGAAATAAAGCAAGTCTAGACTTTGTCCTAAAGCTGCTTTGCATTATTACAACAACCAAAACAACAACATACCCAGTATAATCCCAACGGGGTCAAGAATCAAGATGGAAGCAACCTTACCCCTACAAGTTAGACCTTTGATGCATTGCTGCATTTACTTCCAAAAACTTCATACTACGTAGAAAGTGTGAAGCAAAGGAAGTTTAATGTGCCATTTTGATCTAGTTCATAATTTTCCCGAAGCTATATCATTGTAAACAATGACGTTTAGCTCCAATAGCAATGAATAACTACTTTGCATCATTAACTTTACAAAATATTTCAATTCGTTCCCTCTAGTTGGTGCCATCCATGCATCCTATGAATCGAAAGCTAATAGTACATGGTCAAGACCCATTCCTACGATTCACAGAGCTTGGTGTAAGAGGTCAGTAGTGCAAACAAATAACAACCAATACTGTGAAATCCCAGAAATAGGGTCTGGGGTGCTGTACTCAGACCTGATCCCTGCCTAGAATGAATAGAGTAGTTGAGTAATGCAACAGAAAAGGATGAAATAAAGCAAGCCTATACTTTGTCCTAGAGCAACTTGCCATTATTAACTTTGCAAAATATGTCTACAGTAATGACTGATCTATATGATGGGTTGACAGAAGCAGCTTTGTCAAATGATAATCTAATGGTACTCCATCAGCTACTTCCCTAATTTTCCTCTGATTGTCTTTTGAACTCCACTACAAATGTAGTATGCTAAGGATTCTTCATGACTTCATCTGAGCGTTCATATTTGGCTTTATTGAAACACCAAACTTCCGTTCAATATTTGAGACTATTACACTTCTCGAGCTGCTCAAACTTCATTCTTCTACTCTCTCCGTCCCTCTTGGATCTTTCTTTTTCTTTTTGGGCCATTTGTAATTAATCTTCTCCTTTCCTTTAAGGATATTGTGTTAGGGGTGAACCGGGGGTCTTATCAAGTTGTTATTTTTGGAGATGGAATTTTGGAATAATGAAGGGGAAATGGGCTGGATGAAAATATGGGAATGTGAAGGAGTTCTTTTTGGGTTTTGATAATGAAGAAGAGTGGAAAATCAGGGATGAAGGATGGGTTTAGAAAGGATGGGATAAATTCCAAATAAGGAATAAGAGATAAACACACTCTTATCTTAATTTGGAGCCAAATTAATACTAAAGGATAAGCTCACCTCTAGATTAACTTGGGGTTGAATTCTAGTATTTAATTAAGATATGACACACTTAATCAAATATCTAGAACCTAAAACTCACACTT